ATTTGAGAAATTTTGCGTGAACAAAAATTCCGTTTCGAAATTTCCTCACTTCCTAATCACTTTCTGATGGTTTATTCTAACTCTAGCCACATTTTTTTCAATATAAAATGTCTTTCTCTATCTTTGTAATTGGGCTATTCTCTTCCTTTTCCAGTTTTAGCCGTAATTACTTGGGAACTGAACCAAATATCTGTACGGCAACAGTTTGTAGGCCTTTGAAAATGCCATGTGTGGATATGATTCGAGGAGGAGATTTGATATGGATCGAACTGGTTTCTTTCACATATATTCCACTCTGATTGTTGAGCAAGCAGACCAAATTCATTTGAAATAATTATTTATCTGGCCACAAACTTTATAGATCTAGCATTTCAGCCATAAACAGCAATACTTTTCATATGCAGAACGAGTCTGTGTTTCTCAGGCACTAAAAATAATTTTTACAAAATATAATTATATCACTATTATGCATTAGTAGGATCATTCTTGCTAGCAAATATAATATTACAAAAAGCTGTAATTTAACTTATTGCTCCACTCAATCCTGAATAGATAACAAATAGCAAAAAAATTCCCTAGCTTATTTAAAATAAAAATATTGGCATATTGTGAAATATTTCAGTATGTTATTCTACCAAAGCAATTATAACTTGCTCTCGTTTTCTTATAAAAATATTTAACCTGAAATATAGTTGTTAAATATTGCCCAATTACAACCAATGCTTGGATTGGATTCCATTAAATTAAATATGTATCATGATTATTGAAAAATGAAATTATAAGCTATAAGGCATTTTCATTTTTTTCAAAAGATTGCAGCTTGCTGTAATGTGACCATACCATGTTTCAACATGACAATAGAATGGCCTTGTGAGCACAACTGTGCAATACAGGTTACTAAAAGGGCCACCTTATGCAAACCATATTTAGTACAGCCGTAGAATACCAGCCCAGAAACTAATGAAACACATGGCCACTGGCTATCCACCATACACTATCCACCATACACAGCAAAGTTTGAGGTTTGACCCTGGCCTAATCCTTTGATCAGATTGTTATTCACACACTGATATGTTACAATATACCGTCTTGTACAATATATATACATTACCCCATACGTTACACACACAATACACTACCCCAGAACAACCTTTAAATCTTTAGAAGTGGGATTCAAGACATTTTGGGGTGCACTTTTTAATTTTTTGTCATACGGTATAATTTGACAGTAAACATAGAGGGTAAAACAGTGCATGCAGCTGATCTACATATTTGTGCATTGATGTCTCAGTACAAAATTTATTAAACTTTTTTTTTCAGATTTTGTGTCCAATACTTATATTGCATGAGAATCACACATACTATACAGTAGACAAATTAATTTTTTCAGGGTAAGAGGAACTGCTACTGTTAACTTTGACTGCTACATAAATTTTTTAGACAGACTTCATGTGACCCTTTACACACAAAATGACAAAACGGTACAGATCATTCAATCAATGCTGGCACACATTTTAGAACATGTTGAAAATATTTCTAAATAGGAGGTCGAATATCTTTAATCTCACCTTTACTTTTATCATCGCACAGATCATCGACATCGTCACTATTTACATCCAAATTAACCTCATGCATATTCATACTTGCCTCACGTGCGGCAATCTTGGATTTTGTTTTTTAGCTTAGTAACCTGGCCGTGGTTAAACTTGTTGGTTTTTGAACAAATTTTGTCTGAAATAATACCTCTCATTTTACTGTGCTAATAGAGAGTTTACGATTCATGACGCGGCTAGAGAAGACGCGGTAGAAAGGCTTGGTAACAAGCGCGGCCCAAGACGCGTCGTCTTATTTTGTTCCTAACGTTACGAAACACAACGCCACAGTGACAACGCACTAGAAAACATTAATTTTGGCGGGAAAACTATAGGTTTTTCAAAATGTTCGTAATGTTTGTTTTTGAAAGTGCGAATTTAAATGGAAAATGAACTTTTGCTGTTTAATGCGGGCAATATCATAAATGACGAAGAGTTCTTGCTTTTGCGAGAAAGAAACCGGCAGTCCAATTTGCATTCATGTCTCCCGTACTGGACATACGAAAGGTTTAGCCTAGAAGAAATAGCAAACGATGAGTGTGAGGTTGAAATGCGATTTAAAAAAGATGAAATTTATAGTCTTGTAGCAACGTTTGGACTTCCCGAAGTTTACAAGTGTTATAATGGACTAGTTGTGGACTCGGTGGAGGCTCTTTGCATTTGCCTCAAATGTTTTGCTTATCCATGCAGATATGCAGACCTTGTACCTAGATTTGGAAGGCCTGTACCTCAACTCTGCATGATATCAAACATGATGATTGACGAACTATATGATAAGTACAGTTACCTTCTGCAAGAACTCGACCAACCCTGGCTATCTCCTGAAAATCTAGAACTGTATGCTGCAACCATTCATGCCAAATGAGCTGCTCTTGATAACTGTTGGGGCTTTATTGACGGGACAGTCAGGCCTATTTGCAGACCAAAGCAGGATCAGAGAATGGTTTATAATGGCCACAAGAGGGTACAAGCCCTCAAGTTTCAGTCTGTCGTGGCACCTAATGGTATAATAGCAAACCTGTATGGCCCTGTAGAAGGGAGACAACATGACAGTAGAATGCTGGCAATGTCAGGCTTATTGAATCAGTTGGAGGAGCATTCATTTTCATCAACTGGTCAAGAGTTATGCCTGTATGGGGATCCTGCCTATCCACATCGTCTGCATTTACAGTGCCCTTATGCAAGACGTGCAGGACTGACTATGGAAGAGCAGGTCTTTAATCAATCCATGAGCCGAGTCCGAGTATCTGTGGAATGGGTCTTTGGTGACATCACCAACTATTTTAAATTTATTGATTTTAAAAAAAATCTCAAAATTGGGCTGAGCGCAGTTGGGAAATTTTACATAGTCAGTGCTCTGCTAAGGAATGCTCTTACTTGCCTACACGGCAACACAACATCTGCATTTTTTCAGTTACAACCACCAGCACTGAATGAATATTTTGTATAATATGTAGGGATTTGGGAAGTTAATTAAAGCAAATTTTGTAAATCTTAAATTTATAATGTAAATTAATCAATTCAATTAATTATAACAGAAATGTTGTAATATTTATTATAAATGCGTAATTATTGAGAACTCTTACTAACAGTTAACTTTCAAAAATGTTTTAACAATGTATGAATTATTTTAAAAAAATAAGTTAAATATAATATTCATACCATGTCCTAATTCTTCTTTTGTGCTTGCTCTATAAGTCCAACCAACAGTTTATTTTGTTGCTGCAATATGGCAATCAGATCATTTTTTTCTTTGTTTCTAGTTGCTTCTTCACCTTTTCTTAGCTCAATCTCCTTCTCTTTCAAATCTTGTTCTCTTTGCTTTAACTCCCATTGTCTTTCTGCTTCTTTCTGTCTCAGAGCCAACTCTTGCCTTTTTAGTTCAATTTCTTCTTTCTTTATGGAAATATCTTTATCATTTTTATCCTTAAAGTGCTCCTGGCAGAAAAATGAATTTTACATTTTTGAAATCTTCGTGAAACGTAGATAATGAGAATAGAAATCATAATTGAATTTGAGGTTTTTTTCGCTGAGTTATAGAGCAATGAAATTCAAAATTTTTGAATTTTAACGGCAAAAGTTTTTTAGAACCGCGAAGCCGGAAAACTGGTAACTAATACGTCACAGTAGGATCCGGTGTAGCAGTCACAGTACTCCCCCAGTCTCAGTGTTCCTCTATTACTATGCGCATGCGCGCGTCAGCGGTTTTGCATAACAACATTTTCGCGTGGTCTGAGTTATCCCCCTTATCTCGCTGTTGCCAGTGCCTGTCAGAACACAAAATCATTGAGAAATCTGGAGTAAATTTGTTGCCAAAGGCTTTAAAATGGTATTAAAAGAAGGACCTGTAGTTGAGGCAGATTTGACGGATGAAGTTGTACCGAAAAGTAGAAAAGATCGCTTGGCTCAACATAAAGAAAAAGTCGAGCGAATTGCCCACTACCTGCGCCATGGGAAACATCGAGATGGTTTAACGAAAAACCAACAACGAGTGGTTCGTGGCCAAGCAAAAAACTACATTTTTGATGAAACAAGTAATGTATTTTAAGATTATTCTTTAGTCTGCCTTATCCAGCGCTCAGGATCATTTTACTCACCTTGCCAGCGTGTGATGATCATGCATGTTTGTTTGTTTGCATGACAAATATTTTATTTCAATTTCAGTGCATGTAAATCACTCGATGGTGATTCTCATTCAAGACAAACAAAAAAAAAACACTGACATTACAACTACAATTCCTAGATGTTGCTCAGAGAATCATGCAGAGCAATACCAAGTTGATACAACTATGCAGTATAGAAGTGCTGTTACACTTTGTGACTTAATTGTCAAGCAACGTTGTTGCACATTGCACAATATGTTGCCATTAAGTGTTAATCAATTGCAATTAAGTGTTAGAATACTTTTAATGCAGCAACTGTTACAAAATGTAGAATCATATAGAATCAATGCCCTACAACTTTTCATCATTCTTTTGGAAGTAAGCATTTTCGGTATTTTTCAGATAAGGAGCTGTATTACACTGGTGGAAAGAAAGGAATACGTAAAAAGGTTGTCCTTACCATAGATGAAATTGGGGAGATTCTTCATCATCACCATAGTGAAGCTATGGGAGGTCATAGTGGTGTGAATGCCACCCTTAATAAGATTTCCAACTATTATTGTTGGAATGGCATGAAAGAAGATGTCCAAGAATATGTGAGTATGGGCTGACAAAATGTAACTTGTTAAAAAATTAAGCTGCAATGCATTGCACTAGCTTTTTGTTAATGTGTTAAAGCCAGACAATATTGCTTGTCAGGGGATAATCATTCTACAAAATTACTGGGTGTTTTTACTTAACAGTGGATTTTTTTAATATAGATCGCATCATGTCACCAATGCCAGATTTATAGCAAGATAAAACACAAGCACCAGAGCTAATCCCAATAAAAGTTAATGAGGCATTGGAGTTAGTTGGAATTGATTTGATTGGTGAGTACCAGCTAGTTTACTTTTTCATTATTGATACAGTAATACCTCATCAAAATATTTCATTTTGCCTTCTAGGGCCGCTGCCAACAACTGAAGAAGGTTACAAGTATGTCTGTACATTCACAGACTATTACACAAAATTTGTTGATTTTTTCCCCATCAAAAGCAAAGCTGCAGATGGTGTTGCAAAATGCATAAAGAAATTTACATGCAGGTAACATTAGGAACATTTTACTATTGGGTTGCAGACAACACAACATAAGCAAGTCAATGCCAACTGTGTCGCCAACATGCTACTTAAGGTGGTCCAAGACATATTTGTAACAGATTTGTCATTATATTTAGATGGGGTGCACCTGCACGGCTTCTTTCAGACCAAGGGAGAGAATTTGTAGCAAAAGTGAATGATGAAGTCTGCAGAGAATTTGGCATCAAACGATCAGTGACCAGCGCATATCACCCTCAAACAAATGGATTGGATGAATGAATTCGATTGATTGTCACGATAACCTCATGATTGGATAATTAAACAATTTTCTGCCAATTGGTTGCCAGAAAATTGTTTAATTATCCAATCATGAGGTTATCGTGACAATCAATCGAATGTTAGGATAATCGATTAAACATTATGAATTGAAATTTGAAGCAGGTCTAGAATCAATTCTAAGATGTTCGTCTGTTATTTCATAACAATGCACAGCCGCCTACAAGATGAGTACAAAGTGTCCTCATAAATCTAAATACACAACTGTTTCCACTAGTGGGTACACACCTTGTCCCCACAAGTGATGACAAAATGTCCCCACAATTCTGTGTGATATAAACTTGTTTTAAACCAGGATTTTAAGCAAAAAACCTACGGTAAGACACTTAAATTGCAGCAAAAGTATGAAATGTGTACTAGCTATTGAAAGCTATGTCCCAAAAGTAGGTGTCCCCATATGTCAGCAAAGGTGTGCATGCGTGTGTGTGTGTGTGTGTGATCATAGTCACTCTAGGGGGATGGTCTGGAGACTTTGATGATTCCATGGCCTATCCTATTGTCTTCCATTTTGTGGTGTGACGTCATCATCACCGTGCACATCTGCATATGTCTTCAAGTATTTTAGCACAAAGATTTTAGCATAATTACAAACTATACACAAATTTGAAGTTAAAATGAGGATTGTGAATGAAAATTTTAAATTTTATTGATGCCGGGTGATAATTGTGCCTTTAATCAATGCGGGACAAACCATTGGACAAAAGGAATCGGGCTGTTCACGCTTCCAACGTCGAAGGACAATGCGAGCAAGAATTGGCTACAGGATTTTCTGAACATCCTTACTAAATATTGAGTTAAAGACAAAGATTTTAAAAGGCAGTTGGCAGCTGATTCGCTACATGTTTGATCTTATTTGCAATGATGTAATGCAAGGAATCATTAAAATGTGTAATTCAAGGTGTAAAAGGTGGTGACTAAACACAGATCATTACTTTAGCTTGTGACTTAACTTTTTGTGTTTTTTCTTTTTGTTATCTGATTTTTTGTCCAATACTTCACACTTTTCCAATCACAATCTTTCAAGATGTCCTTTCCTTTTAGGATACAGTCACAACTTTCTTTCTTATTCGGCACCCTTCTTTGTCGAATAAAATGGCCAAAGTGATCTAATACACACTTCTTTTCCTCCTTTGACCACATTAGATGTACTTGTTTACCTAAATCAAACATAATGATAAAATCTGATCCATGCATCTTTAGCATTTTATTTTAGCGTTAATGCTGAGTTCTCAATGTTCGTACAAGGTAAAGAACATCTCTTAACTTGAAGGTGTTTTTGAAAGTCTGTAAGTGGATTTATGTGCTTTGTCAATAATTTGTATTAAAATTTTGAAAATATACTCCCAAAATATTTGTAGTAGATTAAGGAAAGATTAGTAGAAAAGTGAGATCGGATAATTTAATAGTCAAGTACAAGTATTATTGCATTCAAACAAATTTTAAAAATAATCAATTTCTTTCCTTATAGTTTGGTATAGAATTTATATCATCAGATGCATTCACATTTAGATTGATCTTATTTTCTACTCTATAAATCCCAACGAATTACAGAACAGGCACTTTAAATTTAGAAGACGTTATATAGACAGGAAATTTATGCTAGACCTGCTTCAAAGTATTTAACAATTATTGAATGAAGTTCAACATGATATGAAGAATTATCAAGTCGAAGTTTGTGGTTGAACATTACAAGAATGAACAGTCGCCGTAGAATTGATGTTGTCACCATTGGATTGACGTAAGATACAATGATCACACGCTGACATAATAGCGTCATTGTGACATATGTCATATGACATAATGGTCATTGTGAGCATAATGGCGCATGGTCATTGTATTCTGAGCTCTTCAAGATTTCTTGTTATTTGCTTTATTCTTCGCTGGATTGGATGCTTAAATGATCAAGAACACACTAGATGTGAGTATCACGCTAAAGATAAGAACTTTAGTGTTTGTGGCCAGGATAAAGGTTTGCTTTACTGTGTTGAATATTTGAGCAAAAATATAATATATTATGGAGGCAGGCAAGTTTTTAGTAGTGTTTTCTTGATTAATAAATCGTTACACAAGGAATATGTTTATGATACTGGGGATGTGAAAGGAGTAGATTATCGATGGATTGAGTCCTGTGGATGTGTTGAATTACTACTGGCTTCCTGCAGAACGTTTTATTTTAAGGATGGCCGCAGGCCAAAGTCTGAATTTGCTCACTTCGATGAACAAAAACCTGATATTTACATACAAGTGAATATCAATACTCTGCGTGGGTGTCGGCGAAAGCGTTTCTTAAAGTCTAGGAATTGTTATTCATCGAACAGTATTGTGTCGTACAATCCATCTGTTATTTCGCAAATTCTGATGCAATGTGGTGACATCGAATCCCAACCGGGGCCAGTTTCACAAACAACTAAACTTACTATGGAAAAACCGAAGTGTCCTCAATGTTTGAAAACGGTGGCCAAAAATCACAGCCATTTATGCTGCTGTAAGTGTGAGCAGTATTTCCACATAAAATGTGCTGGTAACAGAAAAACGGACGACTTAATACGTGGATTTGTTGCTCGTGCATATGTAAACATGCTTTGCTGAACTTTTCTGATATGTTGTTCTTTTATCAATCTGATAGTGATACCGATATTGGGGATACTGAACAGGACCGGGTGGAAACTTTAGTGGAGTTAGAGGACAACATACAACTTGAATCTCTACGGAAGCGCTGTGACAAGGAAATACTGATTTGTCATCTTAATATAAACAGTATACAGAGCAAATACAATGAGCTTAAGGATTTAATAAGAAGACTAAAGGTTCATGTTATGCTTGTAAGTGAAACGAAAATTGATGCTTCCTATACAAACAATCGTTTTGAGATTCCTGGCTTCTCTGTTCACCGCAAGGATAGAAAGAAGGGAGGAGGAGGTGTAATGGCCATTGTGTCAACATCTCTAGGGAGTAAACGGATAAGCATAAAGAAAAACTATAAGACATTGGAGCCTATTGCAATTGAAGTAAAGACGAAAGTTGGGAATGCTACCATATTGTGTATTTACCGCTCGCCCAAAAACCTCTGTGGAGATTACCAAATTAATTTGGAAAACAAGCTCAGCGATATTTGTAATTGGGCTAGCTTGCATAGTGGCTCTGTGATCGTAGCTGGGGACTTGAATCTCGATAGACTGAGACCAGATAAAGCGGTGGATAAACTCCTACTTGATCTCGAAGAGGAACATGATTTTCAATGTCTCATTACAAAGCCTACAAGAGTTGAAATGCATAAAAACAGGGTAACAAAAGCTTTGATCGATGTGCTGCTTACTAACAAGCCCGAGCTGTTCAGGCACTCAGGGAATTATTATCCATTCCTGAGTGATCATGCTCTGATCTACAGAATTCTTAAGGAAAGAGTTAATTCTAACAAGCCAAAAGTAATTACGTTTAGAAGTTATAAGAATTTTAATTCAGAGGAGTTTAGAAAGCATCTGTGTCCAGCCCTGTGGCATGTTGGTGATATGTTTGAAGATATTGACGATCAGGTGATCAGTAGAACCAGTTACACATGAACAAGTCCTCAAAGTTCTTGAAGCTCTGAGAACAGGGAAGGCTGCTGGGCGGGAACGTATAACCCCTAAAATAAAAACGCTTGGGGGGAAGAAGACCCCTGACTAATCTTTATAACAAGTGTATTAACAGTGGAGTATGGCCGAAAGCTTGAAAGTCTGGCAGTTGGACTCCAGTTTACAAGAAAGACGATTGGTACTGCATGGAAAACTATCGCCCTGTATCTGTTCTAGGCTGTATTGGGAAAATCTTTGAAAAATTGATTAAATCACAAGCTAGTGCCATTTTCCGAGACATACTCTACTGAAATTCCTCAGCGTACCGTAAGAACTACAGTTGCGAAACAACCCTAATTAACTTGATTGAGTCCTGGAAAAGAGCGAGGGATGAGGGCCTGTTTGTAAGCATATTGTCGACAGATATGTCGAAAGCCTTCGATTCACTACACCCCCCTCTCCTTTTGTGTAAACTGAAAGCCTACGGTTTTGGGAATAATGCAATCAAGTTATTTGACAGTTATCTGAGAGAAAAGGAAAATCGTGTTAAAATTGGAAGTTATGTAAGTACAGATAGGCTGGTAAACAGAGGGTGGCCCCAGGGATCTGCCTTGGGTCCTTTCCTGTGGAATATATTCCAAAACGATCTGGCATATCACATGAATTCCCATTTATCGATGTACGCGCCAGATATTTCACATGGGTAAGGACTCAAGTGAAGTCATCTCAAAATTAAGAGAAAGTGCAAAAACAGCAACAAAATGGTATGATTCAAACTTACTTAAGGGAAATCTGGAGAAGTATCAGATGATGAATATCGGGTGGTGTACAGAGGATATGTTATTCATAAAGGGGAAGGACATTAAAACAACTGAGGAACTCAAGCTTCTGGCAGTGACAATTGATCCTAAATTAGACTTCAGTAATCATATAAGTAAGCTTTGTAAGAAAGCTAGTCAGAAGATTGGTGTGTTAATGAGGCTGAGAAACTTAATACCAACAATTGCAAAACTGCAGCTGTTCAAAGCAGCTATCCTCCCACATCTCACATACTGCCACCTGGCATGGCATTTTTGTAGAGCAAGTGATGTTTGGAAATTGGAACGGCTACAAGAAAGAGGACTCAGGGCAGTCTTTAAGGATAAGAATTCTCCCTATCATCAATTGCTAGAAAGAGCGAAACTACCGACCTTATTGAATAGACGCCTACAAGACGTGTGTATATTGATGTATAAAGTTAAGCATAAGTTAAGTCCACCTAATATATAGCATTTTTAAAGAACACACTTCTCAATATAATATTAGACAATCAGACTTTTCAGTACCTAGATTTAGTACAGTAACATATGGCAAACATTCTCTACGTTATCTTG